GAACCAGCAAGTGTTGGTGAAGATGTGGAGAAAAAAGAACCCTCGTACACTGTTGGTGGGAACGCAAACTGGCGCAACCACTGTGGAAAACAATGTGGAAGTTCCTCAAAAAATTAAAAATAGCACTACCCTATGATCCAGTCATTGCAGTACCAGGTATTTACCATAAAAATACAGAAACACTAGTTCAAAGGGATACATGCCACCCTATGTTTATTACAGCATTATTTGCAATAGCCAAATTATGGAAGCACCCCAAGTACCCATCCATAGCTGAATAAAGGAGATGTGGTATACACACACACACACATACACACACACACACCACATACACACACACACACACACACATAAACATACCATGGAATATTATTCAGACAAAAAATGTATGAAATTGAAATTTACCACAAATGGATGGAGATAGAGAATATAATGCTAAGCGAAATAAGTCAGTCAGAGAAAGACAAATACTATACAATTTCACTCATATGTGGAATTTAAGAAACAAAACAAATGAACAAAAGAAAAATAAAGACAAGAGAAAGAGAGACAAATCAAAAAGTAGACTCTTAAAATTGAGAACAGACTGGCAACAGAGGCGACAAGGATGGGGGGATGGGTGAAATAGGTGAAGGGGATTAAAAGCACAGTTATCATGATGAGCACTGAGTAATATATAGAACAGTTGGATCACTACATTGTACAGCTGCAACTAATATAATACTGTATGTTAACTATACTGGAATTAAAATAAAACTTAAAAACTTAATAAAAATAAAATAAAATAATTAAATTTTTTAAAAGCAAAACATATTTTTACTTTAAAATCAAGAAATCTCATTCCTGGGTATTTACGCAAGAGTAATGAAAACATATGTCCATACAGAGACTTGTACACAATTATTCATAGCAACATTATTTATAATAACATTATTTAGATTGGAAACAATCTAAATGTCTATCAATTATTGAATGGAAAAACAAACTGTGCTGTATCCATTCTATGAAATACTGCTCAGCAATAAGATAGAGCCAAATATAAACATAAGCAACATCATGAATACATGTCAAAAACATAAATATGTCCCTACCCCTTGCCCATTCACTACCTTCTCTGTCTCTTCAAACTCACAATAATCTATCCTATCTCACTGGCAACTCATGATCTTTCTTCCTATTTTATTAGGAAAACAAAATCATTTAGAAGCCCCTACTACCATATCTACTCACCCATCTCTGTCTATACCTACATACTCTGCCTTCTCTCCTGATATCGTAGATAAGGGGACAGTAAACTGATGCACAGGGCACTGGAACACACCAACATCCATTCAATTATGTACTGTCAACTCCTATTGTTTAGGAGTTGCAACAAAAACCATATGGCCCACAAACATGGAATATTTACTATCAGGCCTTTAACAGAAGGAGTTTGCTGATCCCTGGGACAAATCCACTTTGTCCTAGCAAAGGCCAGTCTGTCTACCAGATCTCATCCCCTCTCACTTCTCAAGGACTCTGCTCCTGTACTTCTTCCATCTCTCATTTTTTCCTTTGTTAGTGCTTGTTTTCCACCAAAAATAAACATACTGTGATTTTGTCCACCTTAAAAACAAAAACCAGAAACCTCTCAACCCCTATTCCCACCCCAGTTATTTCCTTATTCTCTTTTTCTTTTTACAGTTAACAGTCTCCAATGGGTTGTTTATACTGGATGCCAATAGTTCCTCCCCTCCTGTTCTCTCTTGAAGTCACTCCAACCAAGCTTTCCTCTTGTCACTCTATGGAAACTGTCCTTATCATGGACACCAGTGACTTCCCCAGGTTGCTGAATCCAATGACAATATTTAGCCCCAAACTCACTTGGTTTATAAGCAGCTTGACTGATCACTCCCTTCACCTAGAAATGCTTTCTCCATTTGGCTCCCAGGAACCTACATCATGCTGGTTGTTACTCATCTTCTCAGTCTCAAGGGTTGAGTTGTTAGATGTCTTCTGTACCTGTACTCCAGTCTCATCACTTTAAAGACAAATATAAACATAAGCAACTTCAGATAAATCTGAAGTTCTTCCTAGGAGCCTTGATCTCTCCTAGAAACCCCAGGCCTGTATATCCAATTGACTACCTGATAACACTGCCTAAAAGATATCTCAGACTTAACATGTCCAAAAAGAAGCTCCTAGTCTGCCCATCTTCTCAAACCTACTTTACACGAAGCTTTTCCCATCTAATTTAGTGGCAGCTTCATCTTCCTGGATTCTCAGCCAGAAAAACCTTTGAAGTCAGCTTTGAGTCTGCTTTCTTAAATCCTACGTACAACACATTTACAAAACTCTTTATCTCTACCATATCCAGCAGCTATTTGTGAGCATCTCTACCCCCCTGGCAATACTGTGATTGTTTCACCTGGACTATTATAGCTTCCTAACTGCTTTCCTTGCTTCCACCCAAGCCTCCTTTTAGTGGGTTCTACACAAAGCAGGCAAGGAGAATCTGTTAAAATTTAAAGCAGATCATGTGCAAAAGCCCTCAAGGGCTTCCCATTTCACTCGGAATAAAAGCCAAAATCTTCAGAATGCCCCTTTAGGAGATGTTACATGGTCCCCTCACCATTGTTCTCTTTCTGATCTCATCTACTAATCATTCTTTCACTCATTCTGCTCAAGCCACATTGGCCTTGGCAGTCCCAAAATATTCCAAGCATGTTCCTGCCTCAGGAATGTTGGCCTTGATGATCACTATCCCAGCTCATTCTTTCCTAGATATCCACAGTGATTCATTTCTTCACCTCCATCACATTTTTATCCAATATCACTTGTCTCTGAGCAATTCCTGACAAGCAGGCTGCTGTCCCTGAACTCTCTGTCCCCACATCATCTTTCCACCCACTCCCTGGGCATTAGGAACTTTTTTTTTAACTGAAGTGTAGTTGACATACAATGTTATATTAGTTTTAGGTGTACAACACAATGATTCCACAATTTTATACATTGCTCAATGCTCATCATGATTAAATGTAGCCATCACCACTCACCACAACCTGTTATTACAATGTTATTGACTATATTCCCTATGCTGTACTTCTCATCGTCATGACTTATTTGTTCTATAACTGGAAGTTATATGTCATCATCTTATATATTACATATTGTACTTATTTGGTGTCTCTTTCTTTCCAAGAAAAAATACACTCATTGAGGCTTAGTGTTTTCCTTTTGTTTTATCTATTTCATTAACTATCTATTTGCTATTTACTTTAACTCTATGCCTATCTTCTTGAATATTGCTTAGGATGTAGTTGGTGCACAATAAATACTTGCTGAATGAATCAAATGTGTAAAAGTGCTTTATAAACTATAATGTAATGTATAAATGAGGCATATTATTAACTCCTGAATGTGTAATAAGCACTCTCCACTCATATTTTCAATCCTCTAATGAACCCTTTGAGTATTTTTTCATCCCTACTGACATTTTAACAGAATATGTTTAAAGAGGTTAGATCTGTTTGTCTAAATTGTCACAACTAATAAGCAGAGAGCAGGAATTCAAATCCAGATTTAACTGAAGAGACTGACTTTAAACCCATTAAACACATTTGTTTCATACAACAGTTCTACTGGATGTTAAGTGGACAGTTTAGGGACTTCATGACAGAAGTCCTGTAATAGAAAGGGATTTACAAAGAAAAATCCTTCAAGAATATGTCAGGGACTGAAATGTCTCTAGAGTACTCTTGGATGCCTGACATTTCAATTTTTATCACTGTGTAAGAGTACAATATTACTAATAAGCAAAAAATTAACTATTTGGGGGAAATGCATGATATTTTTGACAAGTCTAAGGATACAACTAGTTTTTTAGGAGTTTTTTTTCTCAGTGCAGTATACTACAGAGTTCACTCTCATCCCCTAAAGGAGTTAATCAGTGGATTGTCATTGTCTTCATTCCAGATACATAACAATTAGGATGAAATTTCCCACATTTCTGGTTATTAAGATGTAGATTTGGTCTCTGTGGCTCTTATTAAATATAAACCATCAAATTTCTTATCCAGGTAAAACTGTCATATTCATTGCTTCTTCCTGGTTGCCTACTTTTTAAAATCTGTATTTCATTTAATTCCCCCAATATGTCAGGAGGGAGATTTGCACAGGGTCTTTTCTATGGAAATAACAAATCAAATGCTGCAACCAATCAGTCACTAAGAGGTCAGATATCCCACAGCCTTACCTATATAAGTTCCAGGTAATATTCAGAAAACACACACACATATATTCACACAGTAATGAAACATTTTAAAATACTCTAAACAATCAAAATTTGTTGTAACAATGTCCTTATTTTTAAGTTTATTCCCTTCATCCATTAGAAGAGCTCTTGATTATTTCATGAAGCAAAGAATTTTTCACCCCTATATACACACAATTTTCAAGACTGGCTGATGCTGTTTCTGTGTGACAGAGCATTAAAAATAACAAATGGGGGAGCACGGATAACCAGCTCTTCTTCTCCCTAGCCACTCCTGATGACAGAGCACACAATAATTGATGTTTAAGAAAATGACATGAAGTCACGTTTAAAAAGATACATTGTACCACATATTCCCTGGCGATGAGTATGAGATAGTAGACATTATTATTTAGAAAGATTTCCATCATAATAGTTCTGTGTTTAAGTTTGGAACTATTGGGGATTTTAGACTTTAGTTATCTGTGAAAATTACTTAGTAATAATTATTGCATGAAAGTCAAAGTAGGATAGATTAACTGTTTAAAATACCCAAAGATATGAAAAGAAAAAAACTTAGTCTAATTATTGAGTGCATAAACATTGAGAAAATCTAGTTCAATGTCAAGTTTTGAAGAAAGTCTAAAAACAGACGAGAGAAAGGTTGCCTTCAAATCTAAAAGTCTGTTTTAAAATAGTTGATTATATAGCAAGTTATGCAAGGACATAACATGTTCCCGACATGAGAAAGAAGCACGGAATACTTTACCCAGGGGCACTCTGGCAGCACTTGCGTCTGGGTTGATCCAGAAGGAGAGCCAAGAGAGAACCACTATCAGCAGGGTTGGGGCATAGACCCCCATCATGTAAAAACCGACCTGCCTCCTCAGGGTGAAGATGACTTCCACACAGGTGTAGTACCCTTTCAGAAACAAACTTATGTTAGAAATAGGAGGGGCTCATCTACCTACAACAGCAAAAACCAATAGTGTACCTGTAAATTGTAAGTCACTTCTATCTGAGGCAGTTTCACAAAGTAAATTCCACAAAAAGAGTTTTTTTCCTATAAATATACAATTTATTTGATGTAAAAGGTTGACATGATGGGACCCGTCTCACCTGACCTTTCACAACTTTATTATGACATTGAGAAATAGATACCACATGCTGCTCCACTATGTCAGTGTCTCAGCTTTTAAGTCTTTGTTCAGGGAATTGGCAATGCACTTAAACTTTTCATTATCCATGGGCACTCTCAGAGCAATTGATCTAAAGGAGTCATATAGGGAGCAGTAAATCAAAGTGGAACAAGTCTATAAAGAAACATTCCATGACTATATATTGTCAGTATAATTTTTCAGCTACATGTAATCACTTCTTATCTAGAAAGCATAGCAGTCTACGATAACTCCTATGCATATTTAAACCTTAAAAAATTAAGTGTATTAGAAGTAAATCTTAGCAAGGATAAGAAATACATGTTTTCATTCTATAGAGATAAAAGATTATAAAGAGTAGATATCTGATATTCCTCTCAATTCTCTCCCTTCCTCCACTCCAGGCCCTCAAGCATGCTTTAGGAGGGAAAGGACTTCATTGTCACAAGCTGAGACAAATGCAGAAATTGCCTTACAACATAATTCTAGAGATGCCATGACACCAACTAGTCCCTCAAATTAATCAGAAATTATGGGCAGCCTCATCATAGCCTCTGCTGACTTGAGAAACAAAATAAGTGACAAGATATTGTTCTAGCACCAGAATAGAAGAGACGCTTCTAGATGTTTGAGACTTTTTTTTTTTAATAAATGCTTTAGTCCTTTCAGTTAGCAAGTTAAATATAATATTTAATGCCTGAAGTGCTTAATTTTGATAAAAATGTCATTTGCCATTCAAAAAAAGCAAGGTTATGTGAAAATAACAGAAAGTTAAAATGTTTCCAATTGTGTTGAGCTTAAACATCATTGTTTCAAAATGTTGAAACAAATAAATCAATGAATAAATAAAATAATTATGGGGAAAGGACATTGCCTTTTTACTATTTTATATTTTAAAACTAACATTTATCTAATTTTCCTAAGTAGTAAGAATATACACACTTCTCGCACTAGAACAATCTTCAGATTCATTCATTAATGGAACTTATGGCAGTTCTGCCCCACAAAAGGGTCTTAAAAAAATGTTAAAAAAAACCCAGCTACTCACATCCTCTTATTAAATAACTTAGACCAGAAATCTATCCTTTTCCCAGTGTGAATTATAATCATTGCCACCTCTGAGAGATTAGAAAGATATCGGGGCTAATATGTAACAAAAATAAAGAGCTGACCGGAACTGAAGTAAATTCTAATTATGCCAAATGTTTCCAAATTATATCAAAACCCACCCCCCAAAAAAATGCAGAATGTTTGTCATTTTTTTAAATTTTAATTTCATTAAAACTAGGCAATTAATTTAAATTGTGCATAGGTTTTAAAAAGATACAAGACGTCAAACAATGAAAACTCCCTCCCTTTTGTCTTCCCATCCCTCATCTTAACTTCCTGCCTGGACAAACAAGAACATGTTTCTAACTAGCGATCATGTGCAAAATTTCCAAAATATAATCTTTTATAGGTCCAATTTTCTGCAATTAAGAGGCTCACAGTATTTCCTCAAAGTGGTTCTGAAGTACCTGGCTTTGCAATAGCATCATTTACTCAAGTTCATTTTATGTTTACCTAGGGCTGTGAGATAGAGAACAAAATGTATTTGCTTATTGCATATTTTTAGGTAGCCTAAATTGTCACAAATATTACAACAGCTTACTGTAGAGTTGCTCACTTTAAAATGAATTTTGCATTCCATTCCACCACGTTTAAATGACAGCCTAAATAACAGGAATCCTATACTCTGAAGCCAGTTTCCACCCCCTCCTTTTATGAAGGCACCCACTGGGGGAGCTTCCCAGGACTGGGATGAATTTGGCAATAAAATACATGCTTGGATATTATAGTGATTTGCTCCATAAACTTTTATGAGAAACATTTCTTGATCTTTTCTGATCTTTTCCTAGTACTGTTACATTTATGAGAGGCAGGTGGGCAACTAATTGATATAAATGTTCATTGGCAAATTCAATTTACTTTCCATTTCTTGTGAGGTTTTATTTCATTATTATTCACTTAGGCTTGCAATTTAAGTATTTTTGTATACTTGTTTTCCTATATATCTCTCCACCTTTGTAACATCTATAATTTTAAAAAACTGTAATTTTCAATAAAGCTAAAGCCAAATCATTTCTGATTATTTCTGTACAAGTTAAAGAAAATATTGTCCATCATTTTGTAAACATTGCTGTCTATATCTTTTTCACTATTCAACATATTAGGCATTCATATATTTAGAAGGTACCACATTTGTAAATGCATATCTAAATATTATCCAAACATTAAAATAAGTTTTGCTTATATTCATATGATGATTCATGTAAACACTGAAATGCATGTTTACTGAAATACAGTAAATGACAATTATCATTATGTTAGACATAACTTCTTTTATTGTTATTTTCTCTAGCTAATGAGAGATCTGTGACTTATTTAAAATAGCTCAAAAAGTACCACAGAAAACTTTACTTCTTATAATCTTGAGTAATCTCTCAAGAACAAAAACGAATAGTATTTATTTTATGTGTGTACCATATTAGAATATAGATCTATAAAAGGGCAGTGATGTCTCCTTTATTCCCCTAAATGGAGATTTGTAGATGTAGGGCTTAAAGGTAAAAAAAATAAGCACCCCCAGGATTTTCAATGCTATCTCGTAATTTTATGCTATCACATAAAATCAGAAATAAAATTACTAGTTTTATTTTAATCTTTAGATGAAGTTTAAAACTTCAATAGGGTCATTTCAAATTTCTCAAAACAATTTAGAGACTATTCATTTTGAAATGTTATGCATATAATCTAGATGTGGGTAACTATTTGCAAAGTATAACAGGACTGACTCCACGGGTAGTATAATAATGTCAGACTCACTATTCCACTTAGTAATAGTATGACTTGGGTAAGTGTCTTTGCTCTATTATCCTAACATGTAAAATAGGGAAAATAAAAGTACTGAATTCATAGGGTTGTTGTGAGGATTAAAATATAGAGTTCCTGCAGAGCACTAAAATAATGCCTGACATACAGCAAGAACTCCAAAAGCCATCTACTAAATATGTATTTCTATACAACAATCCCAAAAGGATTTTCCTTGGCTTTCAACTTATTTTTTTTTTCATTACTAGGTGACCTGTAAAAGTTTCTAAACACTGTAGTCCATTTCCTTAATTTGAGTGAGTACAGGGAAAAGGAGTACTGTGCTTAGTTCAGTGGCTGACATTGATTTGCCTGTAACATTCAGTAAGTCCCTCACTCATCCTGCTCCTCAGTTATTCTCTGTGTTAAATAAAGGAACTGGCTCAGAATTGTCAATAAGATCACTTCCATATCTAAAAGTCCATGTATCGATGACTTCTTCATTGAGTACTCTGATGGTCAAATTTTTAAGAGCTCTTAGGCTTTCCTTTTTAAAATCTTTTATAAATTCTTTTAGCAGTATTTTTGCTTATTACCTCTCTTGTTCTAATATACTATTAGTTCTATAAGAGAAGGAACTATTTATATATAAATGCTATATAATCCATTAAATTATGTGAAGGAAGGTCAACGACAACAGATGCTCAAACTAACTTTATCTCCAAGTAGCCTAAGTGTTGCATTATTGTAGCACTGTAAATGTGCAAACGTTCACTCTGCTTTTTTTAGTATTATATTTTGTCTTTGATGATGCCACGATGGCAGCATTATAAGCTCAAGCATCTGATCTCCCTGAATTCCACACAATTACACTTACATTTTTATTTTTTCAAGTCAACATAAATGTTGCAATACATTTAAAGTTAAATTATATCTATTTCTCTTTTTTAAAAGATTTATTTACTTATTTTAGAGAGAGAGAGTTTAAAAGCACCATAGGGGTGTGGGAGAAGGGGCAGAGAGAGTCTCAAGCAGACTCCTTGCTGAGCTGCTGAGTGCAGAGTCCTACATTGGTTTGATCTCAGGACCCTAGCCAAAATCAAGTGTTGGGCACTTAACCAACTGAGCCACTCAGGCGCTCCTAATTATATCTATTTCTGAACATCTTTGTCATATCTTTGCTTACTTCCTCATAGAAAAACAGGATTGTGTAATTTACAAGTTGAAATGATTAGTTTGAATGTAATGAACAAAATCAATCAGCCTTTTATGTATGTTACTATGGGAAAAAACATTATATTTAATATCTAAAACCCTCAATAACTCTATCAGTTGTGACTCAAATGTTGAATATGAATCGTATTATTAAAGTATTGCTTAGTGGGTATTATATTTTCATTTCTGCAAAGCTTGAGGTAATGTAATGAATGAGGTTAGTTTGTTGTACTTTTCACAATTAGCTGTTCCATAACCTAGGCCAACAATATTATACGGGGAGTATTTACTGACGTCCAGTTATTCTCCACACTTATTGCTTCCTACGCAGCATAAAGATCAGTGCCTTGTAAAACTAAGAATATGGGTCAACCAACATCTACAGCCTGCCTAAAAGACAAGAGACAAGTGTATATGCATTACATTGATCAAATCCATAATGTTTGGCTCCAAACTGAAACTTGCCAGAAGCAGAGTTTCTTGGCAAAACCTAAGAAAACCATTGCCTGGGAGAGTTCATATTACTAAAATAAAAAATTGAAAACCTCTTGTTATCTAGAATTACATAAAGAAAAGCAAAACTATTTAGTAATAAACATTTTTAAGAACTTTAGTGAATGTAATTTTATGAAAGATTTAAATATATGGACGCAAAGATAAACTACTTGTAAATATTGAACTCACTTTTAAACTAATTTTCTTCTATTCTATTCCTAGCATATGTTAAAATTAAAATGAACCTTCGAAAAAGGATTTAGTTTTGTTTAATTCAAAGACAATTACTTACCAGTGCCTTTATAGTATTTTGTACAGTTACCATATTCAATATCTTCCTTTTTAATATCAAACTGAGGCAAGGCAATTTTTTCTAACTGAACAGGATCTCCTGACTGCCAGATAAATCGTAAATCATCAGTTGTGTAGCCAACTATAAACAAAAGTAAATAAATAAAAATATTATTTTGAAATATAATTATTAATACTTTCTTAATATTTTGAGAATCCAATTACTAAACACAGAAATGGTAAGATAATAAGCCATTCTCCTATGAAATTTTTGTTAAAAATGCAAAGAGATAAAATCTATGGCCATCAATGAAAACATTAGCACAAATTTACAGATAATTGACTTAAAGAAAGAACAAGCTAAAACAACGAGCATATCATAAATATACATAAAGTTACAATTTCACTGCCTCATGTAGAGTAGCGTATTTTGCTATGTCAGAATTCAGAACTGTCATCAATAAAAAGTAATAAATAAGTCACACTAGCTTTCTGAATATATTCAGAATAGATTCATTCACAATTATACAATATGCTACCTGGAAATTAAAAAAGAACTTAAGCACCGAATCACTTATACTTTTGAAGAAATAACCATAAATTTCCCTAAAGGCATTGCATTGCACAGGAAAGCAGTAAAACAATATCTCAAATGGACATCATTATTAAATGTGGAAGCACACATTTTGGGTTTAGGTAATATACCGTTCAACTCTAGAGTATATGGATTTTTTTCAAAGCAATACTTCAGTGTATCTAGCAATAGATTTGAACGTAAATATCCAGTTGGAATTTTTTACACAAATACATATTGACACACAGGCCTAAATATATACAACACATACACAAAAATGTACATACGTACATATACTTACATCGGTAAAATCTCAATTTATACTTAGAAAGCAGTAGAGATTGTTCAAATTTAGGCTCCAGCTTCAGTAAATTTTTTTTTAAAAAACAACAGATAACCACAAAGTAACTTGAAAGCATATCATCTAGCAAGTATACATAAGATATTTTACAAGGCCATCATTCTTTACTTGTTGCTGAAATAGGTCATGGTATATAGGTATTCAGGCCAAGGCTTCCTTATAGTAGTGTTAGTTTTTCAAGTTTTATGTCCTACTTTTATTTTCAAAAGATAAGCATCATAGAGAATTAATTGATAAGTAATAATTTTAATAATCATTTTAATTAATATACCTTATACCTTAATATGGTACTTCTTTCATGAACTGAAAAACATATGATCATAGAAACACAAAAATTCCAATTTTGCAAAAAAATTTTTTAGACATCCACAGAAAATGACTACTTGGTAGGATTTAGGTGCTGTTTTTTAATGTTTTCAAATTTTCTGCTCTGAACATGTGGCTTTAAGAGCAGAAGAGTTATTAAGATACTGTTTTCCCCTTTATTTATATTATCAATTCAAATGACGATGGCAATTGGAATAAGTTAGAAGTGTACACCTACATAAACTGATAGCAAAACCTAGTACCCAAAGGATGTGTCTACCTTAGTAATTGTTACAGTAAAAGAATAACAATAATTTTCCTAAATAAATTACTCTAATGACTATTTGTAATAAAAAGCATTAGTTTTACCATTGCTATCTAAGAGACTAGTAGAATGTATTGCCTAGAAATTTTAAGCATTTTTATTGCTATAGTCACTTAGGGTCTCATTTACATACAGCTTTCCAGTTGCATCTTGCAACGTTGGGTATCCATTGGAAACAAGGTCAAGTCCAAAGGGCATGAAAGAGTAATAGATAACCTGAAAGTAGAAACAGAGGTCTTAGAAGTCACTTAATATGTTTCTCTGTGATAATCTGACTTAAAAATATATATATATATATATCTGTACAAATATTAAAGAATACCTCATGCTGACAAGAACATCTCCATCACGAAAAATAAAGAGAAGGATATTTTCCTGGGTCACATCATGAAAATTGGCACTTTTTTCGTTTGCAAAAAATAAGTCAGGTTTCCACAGACATTTGTACATTGTGGGATCCACCGTCAGTGCATCTGAGCCCCGAAAATCACTAGGGAGCTTCAGCCTGGGATCATTCCATTTCTGTCTCAAGAAAATGTTAACTCTATAGTCCTGGAAAAAAAAAATTGTGTACATGTGTGTGTTTACTGCTATTTGAAAGAATATATTCAGCACCAGAATAAAAAGAGTTTCAGTGATAAGCAGCACAAATATTTTTAGTCTCCCACCATCAAACAGGATCAAAACCACTTGGTCACTAAATATAAAGAGCCCCATGGGCAGTATAAAAAGACCCTTGTGTCTATTTAACAACTCTCTAGAGAAATTTCCTTAGCACTTGCTAGCTCCAACATCAAAATATAACTTTACCAATAATTGCTTCACCTTTATACAAATGCCAATTATGCCAGTTTGTTAAGTGGTGTTATTGTAAAAACATGAGACTGCTAAATATTGTCATTATTCTTCCCAAAAAAAGTAGAAAGCTAAATATTGTCATTATTCTTCCCCAAAAAGTAGAATAAAATTAAATTAAAAATAGATAAGAAGCCAAGGGAAAATATTTCTATTTGCTTTTTACTAAGTAGCAAACTATAAAAATAATATACATATATAAACATATACATTATATAACATGTATATAACACACATACTTATATATGTATAGGTAAGAAGGAAAAAGAAAAACTATTCTTGACTACTCATATATGTACATGATTGTAGAGAGAATTTGAGATAGTCAAATGAGATTGCATTATGCAAAACAGATGAGCATATCAAAATTTGCGTTATGTTTATTTAACTATAGTAGAAAAATGTTTTGAAATCTGCTAAATATCTGGCTATTTTACTTCAGTGTTTTTGTCTATCTCCAAAAATTTTCATTTTAAAACTTTGTAAGAATTAAATTATGTCAAGACATATATTTTAAGAATATGTGAACCTAGGAACATGTTCAATACCTTAATACATTTTTATATCTGCCAGTGAAATGGGGTTCTGGCAAAAATCAGGTTGTTAGCATATACAAACTTAGCACTGAGGATCGTGCTCAGGTCTTTTGATTTTAATATCATATACTGTACTCAGAAGATGCACAAAAGTGCTCAAGGTAAAAACTGTTTTGGGCTTCAGCTTCCTTATTTTCAATCATTCAAAATTCACAAAATACTGTCTTACCCATAGCCTTTCAACATGATCAAAATGAATTAAATAATAAACTTCAAATCGAAATCTAAATAAGTAACTAGGAAGAAGTTATAGACCATCTTTTATTAAGTAATAAGAATAGATTTCTATGAAATGTAAGTGCACATGCTTTATATATGTATAATATATAAAATAAAGCATAATTAAGGAGTAGTAATTGTCCCAGTAAAAAAGCTTGGACAATTTACTTTCTCACATTATCTTCAGACTCTGGATAGTAATTGTAGAAGGGTAGGTACATAGTAACAATATCCACATACTGAAGTACAGACAGTGAAATAAGATTTAAACTGCCTACATCTCATAGCTACTCTAAACTTAAGGTTTATAAAAACTTCAACATGTGTAATACAAATTGATTCTTAAAAATCACATGCAGATGGCACTAGAGTGCCAAAGTCAAATAAATTAAGGATTATATAAACTGACACTGAACATATCTGCACCACTGATAAAAAAAAAAGATAACATTTTCTAATCAGATGAACATGGAATTAAGGTGGGGATAGAAGAGGCCTAGAACTCTGGAAAATAAAGAGCTGCATTGTACAACTACATGAACCGTCAAAATATACACCTATCTTAGAATTCATAATGGGACTTATTTGCTTCACGTCTGACAGTGATTATGACAACAAGAATTAACTCATACGCGCCCAAGACAAAGGCTTATCTACATCACATGGTGAGACTTCCAGAAGACTTGATGTTGCTTCCTGATGCAAGCTTTTATCCATTCCAGGCAAACATGCATGGCCCTCCCCTTTAAAAGGAATACACATTAGGTTCAATTATTTTCTTTTTTTTGAAAAAAGACATTTATTTGAGGAGAGAGAGAGCACACAAGGAGGGGCAGAGAGGGAGGAAGAGAGAGAATCTCAAGCAGACTCCCTGCTGAACACGGAGCCCCATGCAGGGCTCCATCCCGTGACCCTGAATATGACCTGAGCCAAAATCAAGCCTCTGACGCTGAACCCACTGAGCCACCCAGGCACTCCTAGGTTTAATTTTCTAATAAAATACCAATTACACTACCTTAGCTAAAGCACATGGTTGACATACTTTTGACATTACTTTTAGCACTTAACAGTATTCAACTTCAAATTATTTGCTAAAATCTTCCTTGGAGTGATCTGCTAAAATTATTGGTATTCTAAAATTATATACACTAAAACTATTTTTATTACCTTCTCTATGTACTGTGTCTTATCAAAAGGTAAATCATCAAAAACTACATCTTTAAACTGCCATATTTAAAATGTACATTCACAATGTCATGATAAAATACATGTCCTTAACTTGCTATCAAGGATTAGTATGAAAAATAACCAGATGAGGTTGCCTATGTATCTTTTATAAACACGTTATTAAAGCCATGACTCCTTATTTTGGTCAATGACCATTATATGAAAATACACAAGATAAATTCTTCTTTATTTATTTAATTTTTTCATTTGTTTATACATATATTACTATAATATCATTATATAGGTGTTTACTATGTGCTAGGCATACTTAGTCTAAACACTTTGCAAAAACAAATCTATTCCTCAGAGTTTATACTAAAAATACTTTCCTGATTCTCTCATATGCTCCCTATTACAGGAAAGCAAGACTGAAGTATCCCATCATGTTTTTATTTCTGCCTGGCAGCTAGGGAACCGAAGGCTAAATTCTATAGCCAATTGAATTAATAATTTCTCTCTCATATCCTTGTATGACTATCACTGCATGGCCCTTGCACATTTAGTCCTATTTCAGTTATTTCTTTGCATTTTTTTGTTATTTTGATACACGGCAAACCCTTGCCAGAAATAGAGATGGATGAAAAGTAAAATAACAGTCGAGGGATTGTCATATACTTGACAAGATTCTGTCAGCATTATTTGGATGCCACTTCCCAGAAACTCTGCCAATGTGGCTTTTAGAATCAAGAAGCTTTATTTTAGTCTAATATTAGGTTTTCTTACTTTAATAGAATGTTAGCTGTATGTTTAGAGATACAGATATCTAGATTAAAACTACTACATTTTGGAATGTATTCTAGTTTACATCTTAGTAACTAATTTCCAATGACATTATATTGATATTTTTTATAATACTCAAGATATCTGACAGGAATTAAAGCAATTCTAAGATTTAACTTTGGCATATTTTGCATAATTAAAAAGAAGCCACTTTCGGGGCACCTGGGTGGCTCAGTCGTTAAGCGTCTGCCTTCAGCTCAGATCATGGTCCCAGGGTCCTGGGATCAAGCCCCGCATCCGGCTCCCTGCTCCGCAGGAAGCCTGCTTCTCCCTCCTCCACTCCCCCTTCCTGTGTTCCCTCTCTCGCTGTCTCTCTCGCTCTGTCAAAAAATAAAAAATCTTTAAAAAAAAGAAGCCACTTTGTAATGTTTGGGGTAGAACTTCAGAAATTACCCCAGCATTAATACCGAATTCTCCTTAAAAACTCCATACATTGGGAGCACTATTCTATGTTCCACAATTCTACCTCCAAAAATGGTATGGGTAACTCAGCTAAAATTATACAGAAAAATTATTTTTCTTTTAAAATTTTAAAGCAATTTGAATGGTGCTTCTCCATGTGAAGTTCATTCTTCTAAATCCTTCTTAAAGTCTAATCAATATTTCCATCAATCCAAGAATATCTTTATATAATGTAAATCTTTATATTAGTTATCAAGTTCAAAGCATTTTAACCAGCCAAAAGCTGATTAAAGCCCAACGTAGCCCTACATAGTATCAAAGGCTTTGACAAAACAAAACCTATCCATGGGGAAAATTACAAAATTACAAATCATATAAGAATGTTTTAATGCCATTCCTTTTAAAATTCTATATATCATCATAAATAATTTTTTATAGTCATATTAATCAAATTATAAAGTCTAATATAATGGAGTCAACATGGGCTTGGAAATATAAAGTTCCTGACTCAAGTTTCAGCTCTGAGTCTTAAAGCTTTTACCTTGAGCAAGTCTCTTAAACTATCTGAGCTCAATTTCTTAACAAAAAAAAAAAAAAGGAATCTTAATTTCTAATGTGATAATTCAATAAAATGCTCAATGTAAAAGATTAATATAGTACCCACTATATAAATTAGTTTCCGTTCCAATAAACATCCTTGAGAATCTAGCTACAGAGTATATCATATACTTTCTGAAAAGGTTTTTTTAAATTCCTCCTAAGTCCCTAGGTGATGGGTTGGCTCACTCATTCAATTCAAAAATTATTTATTAACCATATATTTCTTTCTATGCTCTGGGTACTAAGGATACCGCTGTGAGTACTCTCAGACTTCAAAGAAATAATTGTCAGTTACATTGGCAATCAGTCAAATATAAAACAATTTGAAAAAGACTATGAAAATGGAAATAGATTGCAATGGGGCATCTAGACTCAGGATTAGTTGAAAGTAACCAAGTGAACTGACACCTACACTGAGACCTGACGACAGGACAATTAGACAAATGTGGGTCTGAATTATGAGCTATTATGTGCCCCAAGGCAAGTCACTTAACTTCTCTGAGCTTAAAATTCGTCAATAAAATTAATCTTCAATTATTCACAAGAATCAAAGGCTGTACCTAAAGCATGAAACCTGGGACAAAGAGGGTACTCAAAAGTTAACAAATTTATTATATGTATTATTTTTTTTAATTTTTTTTTAAAGATTTTATTTATTTGACAGAGAGAGACACAGCAAGAGAAGGAACACAAGCAGGGGGAGTGGGAGAGGGAGAAGCAGGCTCCCCGTGGAGCAGGGAGCCCGATGCGGGACTCGATCCCAGGACACTGGGATCATGACCTGAGCCGAAGGCAGACGGCCAACGACTGAGCCACCCAGGCGCCCCTATTATATGTATTATTAACATTATTACCATTATAGCTATTATCACC